ATTAATAATCTGAAATTATTAAATTGGCCATGACTAAAATATTGTCATTGTCTGCTTAACTTAGTTATATCTTTCTATGTCTGAATTCATGGATCACGTGATCTTACTTACACACGTGTGTATGTGTATAAAAAAAACATTGATACAAAACTATAATATATTAAATGAATAATGCGATTCATCTTGAATTTCATGTATAATATATAGGACCTATATATAATTCAATTAAAAATTTGAACAGGAAAGTACAATAGAAAAATAAGAAAGATAAGAGATATGAACATGGTTTTACATATATAAACCATTTTTGTTACAAATTATTATTGTTGATTATTTAGAGTGATTACGTTCGTTCTTCCTCTCAGCTCGATCTCCCATTTCCATCTGTATTTCTCTTGCATTTTAGCCTTCTAATTAAGTGAGGATGAAGGGATGATTAAATTGAAAAACAATAAGATAGCATTTAGATTCAAGAAATTTGAATTTTAGATTTAAAATTCTCATGTTTCTAAAATATTTTATTTATAGGCTATCAGCCAAATCTTTAGCAATCGAAATAATTTTTATTGATTTACATTTTGGGTATCAGCAATGGCCTCGTTTGCTCCCCTTATCTATCCTTGGCAATTACATTCATATAAATTTTTTTTTGTTTGTTTATGTTTGAGCTTTGGCATTCAGTATTTTTTATGCATATACGATTAAAGAATACTTTTGGTCCTTTAATTTTATGTAACATTTCAATTTAATTTTTTAATTTTATAAAATATTTTTTTGTCCTTCAACTATAATATTGTTAGTTTTAAATGATTATTTTTTATATCAATCATTGTTATTTAAAAAAAATTAAACTTAATATATTAACATTTGATAATATTTTATTAATACTTAAAAGTTAAATGTAAAAATTTTGTAAAAACTAATATTGTTAGGATTAAAGCACTTAAAAGACACTTAATAAAATTAAAGAATTAAAATAAAACATTGTGTAAAATTAAATAATTAAGTATATACTTTAGTCTGCATATATTAACCCGATTGGCACAGCTTACGAGCACTTTCTTAAAGAGCTTGTGTCCAGTTGAAAATTTAATTGCTAACATATATTCAAGACTTGAATTTGAGATTTTGAATTAAAAAAGATTAACTTCCTCACCAATTGATCCAAATGTCTGATTATCATATTTATTTTGATGGGTGCAATCCACAAGATGTCAAAAATACTTAAAAATTAGGTGGAAAAGGTTGCAAATCAATTAGAAGACTTACAAAATAAGCAACCACTTTTCACATTTACAATGTTTTGTTTAATTTTTTAAAAAATAAATTATTCTAGTTAAGCTAAAGATGAGAAGTTTGATAGGAATGAAGGGGAGTCTAAGCTAAACATATCAAAGATGTGTTGGGAAAAAAGATTATTTTAGTAAGCTATTTTATTCGGAATAGTATATAAAAAAAGTTAAAAAATAGATTTTTTTAATGAAACTTTTATGATTAGCTTAATATTCTTCCAAAAACTGGAAAATTAAGCTTAACTAAAATTATTTTTTTAATTGTAAACAAATTGGCCCTTAACAAACACTCACACACACTCTTCTAGTGCTATTTACAGGCATTTATATGATTTTTATATCTATCTTTATCTTTTTACTTCTATTAAATGCTAAAAAGTTATTGATATTATATTTTATTTTAAAACATGTATATTTAATAGACATAAAATTAAAAAATTATTAAAATTTTAGACAGAATTAATTAAAATTATTTTTTTTAGTTCTTGTAAAATAGGATGGAGGAAGTATAGTATTATTTGGCCCTAGAAAGATTTTTTGTTTTTAATTTATATTCCTTTGGTTCTATTCATAGGGTAGAGAGAGAAGAAAAAATTAATTTTATTTATAGGGCACTTATTAACTTTTAATGCTTCTCTTTACATTTTCACCCTTATTAAATGCTTTGAATAAAAATATCAGTAATAAAATTTAAGAATATTTATTAAGGGTAAAGGTGAAAATTTATTAAATTTTATAATAAAATTAATAAAATTTAAATTTTTTAATTTTAATAAAATTTATTAAAAATAATTTATAAATAAAATGAGTATTCATAATTGATGACAGAGAATGCATTCCATGCTGACATTAATTATTTATGTCACGTAGTTGAAGATCAGGCAAGAACGTTTGTTGATGATAGAGCATGAACCCCAAAGTCAATAACATTATTCCACCTGAACAGACGACTTGCTTCAATACATTTGGATCTCTTCCTTTTATCCTCTTAATTTTTAATATATATATATATATATATAATGTGGAATTCATTTATGCAAGAAGTATTATTCAAGAATTTCAAACATAAAATAAATTATAATACATTTTATAAAAATAGTGACTTATCTTATTAATTTTAATAAGAAATATATTTATATAAAAAAAATCTATCAAGATATATCAAAAAATAAAATAAAGATCTATCAAAAATAAAATAATAATAATAAATAAAATATTTATAATCACTTTAATTATAATTATACAGAATAACATCTATTATCAAAAATATAATATTGCCTTTAGTTAAATTATACAACTCCTCCTTAAATTTACATATAAATGATTATAATATCACATTTTAACTTAAAATCTTAAGATATTGACTTCATGCATCTTTTTCACTTGTATATATCTTTCTGATATAACTTTATGTGATGTGAGACTTTTTTTCACATCAAACCAAATCTACTCACACTTACAAGTGGACATGTCACTATATCTTAATCCAAAACATGGAGATATTAAATTAATAGATTTTTTTTTAACTTATACATCCATTTTTTAACCCAACGCTATTTGATATGAAGCCTCTTTTCATATCAAGCCTCATGTACTCACACTTGACAACCCAACATATTAAATTTTTGACATATTGAAATATCTAATAACTTCCATACACATTTCATATGTATTTTTTAAAAACAAAAATAAAACACCCAAACTCATGTCTCAATCTTGGCTTGAAGCTTCTTCCGTGTGCTGTTCCTTTCTTCTGCCTTCCCTTTCTTATCTCAATCTTCTCATCATCTCATTGTATATACAATTATTCACAGACATTATTGTCCCACAATCACTATTATTCAATTAAAGTTGACTCTCATGTTTCGTAAATAATTTAAGATGAGTTACAGTATAAATGATGCAACATCCCATTTAATAATGTTATATATTATATGGTTAAGGTCTATTTTTATCCTCAAATTATTCTCATAAAGAGTATTTAATATTTTAAATTTTTTATCACAGTAATTTTTCAAATAAATTGTAGTAATATAATGTTGCTTCTCTGTTAAATGGGTAAATATTGACTGTTAGCTTTGTTGACTTGGATTTAACATTGGAGACAACATTGTTACGATTTAATAACTTTAAGAGTAATATTGTTATGATTTAAGTCAAACATATTTTCAAGTAAACTAAGTTAACAGTCAACGTTTGCCCTTGTCAGGAGAAACATTGCTATGATATTGTTACTTCAAGGGTGATATTGTGACAACAAAAAATTTAGGACACTAAATGCTTCTATAAAAATAGTTTATTTGCAAAAATAGAATTTGACCCTGCAATATAATATGATATTGATAAAAGTGCACATTTGATGAATTAATTTAATAAAATTTGATTTTAATCTTTTAATTTTATAAAGTGACTTTTTAATTTTATAATACTAAAAAATTAGATTTTTGATAAAAATATTAAAATTAATATTTTAAATATTAAGAAAATATTATTAAATGTAGACATTTTAAATTTATTTTTTAGAAATAATAACTGACAAAAAAATATTATTTGAGACAAATGACATTAGTATTAGAAAATTGAAAACATGTTTCACAAAGTTAAAGGACTAAATTAAAATATTATATAAAGATAGAGAATTTAATGTGCATTTTTCTCATGATATATTAATTCAATCAAAATTTATGTATTCGTATAAATTCTTTTTATTTTTCCTGATAAAACTTATAAAATTCTTATCCATTCGTCTTATAGTTAGACAGGCTAATTACTCAAGAAGAGATGCATGTGGTGGAGTCCGCGTTTACCAAGAATTAAAACAAAACCACTTAAAAGCAGCAAATTTCAATATAAAAAACTTAGAAAGTAAAAATACCAAGTGCTAGAGCTTGTCACAGGAAAAAATCTGGAGTTAAATCAAAATTTTTAGTTTTACATTTTAGTATTTTTATGAAATTTTTTAAAGGATATTATTGTAAATTTTAAGAATAAAAGCCCTACTTTCAAGCATTTTTATTTATGTATAAATTAATTTTAAGTTATAAAAATTATGTAATTAACTATAAAATTAGATAATTATTTAATATAAAAAATAAAAGTACTTACATTTTATTTTTTAAAGGTAAAATTAGGGATTTTAATTTCAAAAGATTAACAAATTTAACTGATCAAAACTAATAAAGACTGTTTTAGTCAATAAGGATTTAATCTGTAATTTACAAGATTGTGAGTTTAAATTTCATTATTAATGTAAAAATCTTATTAATATTTTGTAAGCAATTTATAAGTACTCTTTAAATTTAGAGATATGTTTCGATCATAATAAGTTTTTATGACCTAATTTACCTATACTTTTACTGCAAAAAAATCTAAGTGATCAAATTATAAGGGCTTAATTGAAATAAAATGAATTATAAATACTTAATTTTCAATCAAGAAAAATCATAAGGATAGACAGAGTAATTTTTTTCCTTTGTTTTATTATTAACATTCATATATTTTTTATATCTTAATTAGTCATTTTCATTCCTTGGAACCGAAGAGCACATTTTCGTCAATTCATGTGGATTAGTGGCACTCTCGTAAATCAGATGAACCGTGTATTCGAAGAAGCGGGCTCTTTTGGAGTCAGGGGCATGACTGACATTTGACTTATTAAAATAATATTATCCTTTATCTTTAAGTGCTTTCGTCGCACGTCGCGTCTCCGTGTCTTTAAGGAACGAAGACTAAAGGGAAGCAACTGGCAGAAAACTGAAAGCATAGAGTTTGCGAGGGAGAAGCAAGCAAAAGCGACACAGTGAGAGCTTCTAATAGCTTGAGGTATGGTTCCTTACTCATTTTTCTGTTCTCATTGCATTTCGAGATTCTTCTTCTGGCAAGAATTTGCTTCTGGGTTCTGTTTAATTTTGATTCGGTGTGTTTTATAGCTCATAAATGGTTTCCAACTGCAGTTTGGTTGTGGAAAATTGGTTTCCAATAGTTGTTTCCTTGGTAGCTTTGTTGTAACGCTGATATCGGCAATCCCTGCTCCGATCCTTGAAGGAGTTTTTGTTTTTAAAATTACCTTCCGAGGTTTATCATACAACTTTTTTCGGTGCGGTTTCTCCAAAGTTGTTTTCCTTATCTGGAGTTGAATTCCATCTCTTCTTTTAGGGAAACGGACTAATTTTCTGACCATGAATCCTTGACAATTATGATTTCGCTGGATCAACAAGCTTTCAGATTCTGCTGATTATACTGTTTCGCTTACATCCTGTTAGATTTTGGAACTTGGAATTTACTTCGTCCTATGCATCCTTGTTTGGTATAACACATTGGATTTTTTTTCTTTTTGACAAAAATTTGGATTGTAATTTTAATTACTATCATGAAAACTCTTATAATACTATTCATAAACAGTGAATTAGTTAATTATAACACTATTAGTAAACAGTGAATTAGTTAACTACGACGCTATTCGTAAACAGCGAATTAATTAATTATGACTTATATATTAATTATTACTTATATTGTGATATGAATTATATTTTAGTCTCTCCCCTAACCCCCTCTCTCCACACGCACCCCAGAAACAAAAAGGAAAAGAAAATAACAGTTGCAATAATGGCCGTGTCTGCTCTGAGCATTTAAGATGACTGTTGAAATTGATGTTTACTATGTAATACGTGTTAATTAATGATTTTTTTTTTCGTTTAGCTTACACAACTGGCACTAGCTTACTCGAGCATATCTATTCATTCTTCAGTGATACATTCCTTAACAATGATTCTTTTTGGTCTTCTCATCTTTGCAGAAATTTCCTGTAAGGGGAAGCATTAACTTCTTCCCTTTTCTGGCGTCTGAATTAAGGACTAATACATGGGTCCAGCATCAGAATTGTTATCCGAGAGACGTTGCAGTAAGCCCCCTGGGATTAGGATCCTAGAGTCTATTAAGAGAAGCCCTGTTTCTTTCAAGACCTACCAAGCCATCGTTTTGGTAGTAACATTTTTTGCTTATGCAAGCTATCATGCTACCCGGAAAACAACAAGTATTGTAAAGAGTGTCCTTGATCCCGAATCAACAGATTTTGGCTTAAATTTCTATCGATTGAGATCAAATGGTACCAATCAGTTGATCGGAAACAGAAAATTTTCCTGGATTCTTGGAAGTGGTTGGGCTCCATTTAATGGACCAGATGGGACAGCACTTCTTGGTGAATTGGATGTTGCTTTCCTTGCAGTATATGCTTTTGGGATGTATTTTTCTGGCCACTTAGGAGATAGGTTAAATCTGAGGATTTTTCTAACCGTGGGAATGTTGGGAACTTGTTTGTTTACTTCGCTTTTTGGTGTAGGATACTGGGGAAACATCCATAGCTTCTATTATTACTTAGTAATTCAAATGTTTGCTGGATTGTTTCAATCCACGGGATGGCCGTCAGTAGTTGCGGTTGTTGGTAACTGGTTTGGAAAGAAGAAGAGAGGGTTGATTATGGGTATATGGAATGCTCACACTTCTGTTGGGAACATTTCTGGTTCTTTGATTGCTTCTGCTCTTTTAAGCTATGGATGGGGGTGGTCCTTTGTTGTACCAGGACTTATCATTGGTTTCCTTGGTTTGGTTGTTTTTCTTTTATTGCCTGTATCACCTGAGTCCGTCGGAGCTGATGGAGAGGAAGATGAATGCAATTCACCCAAGAAAAATGGAGATGAAGAAATTGAAGAGCCACTGTTAAGGCCTGAGACGGTTGTTGAGGAGGAGAAAGCTGTAGGATTCATAGAGGCATGGAAAATTCCTGGGGTTGCTCCTTTTGCTCTTTGTCTTTTCTTTGCCAAGTTGGTTGCATATACGTTTCTCTACTGGCTTCCATTCTACATTACCCACACAGGTGCGTCAACTTTCTTCTTGATGTTTTAGATTCTGTCTTTATAGCAACCACATAATGCACTAGTACTTTAGTAAAAATCTTTGATTACTTATTTATTCTCGTGATCATGCAGCAATTGATGGCAAATATCTATCTAGTGAGACAGCAGGAACACTGTCCACTTTATTTGATGTTGGTGGAGTGCTTGGAGGAATCCTGGCTGGCCACATTTCGGATAAGTTAGATGCCAGAGCAATAACAGCAGCAAGTTTCATGTACCTTGCAATCCCTGCTCTCTTCTTCTATCGGTCTTACGGGCACGTATCATTGGTTGTAAATATAGTATTGATGTTCATCACTGGCATGTTTGTGAACGGGCCTTATGCTCTCATAACAACAGCTGTTTCGGCTGACCTGGGAACACACAGTTCACTGAATGGAAATTCACGAGCTTTGGCAACTGTGACGGCAATAATTGATGGAACTGGTTCTGTTGGGGCGGCCATTGGCCCTTTAATAACAGGCTACATTTCTAAAGACAGCTGGAATGCCGTTTTCACGATGTTAATGGCATCAGCTCTAATTGCAGGGCTTCTTTTAACCAGGCTTGTAATAACAGAGGTAGCCACAAAGATTGCCGAGTCCAGGTCTCGTCGTCGTGGAGCACAAGAACCTATAGCAGAAGTTTGAGAATTTTAAAACAGATGGCAGTGATTTATCTGGCTGTGTTGCCTACCTACTCCCAGAGTGTCCCTGATTTACTGGCTCCGGTCATTATTAACGAAGGACATGCCCAGTAATGGCTGAAATGGAGAGGGGCGTTTTAAATTTTATCCATCGCCACGATTTTATGGGGCAGTTTGGCGTATTTTTTTGTACATAAGTGTGTGATTTACCCAGTTTGGCATAGTGTCATCACAAAGATGACCTTTACAAGAAATGGTTATAATTTTTGTATATTGGAAATTTACTTGGATATCAGGAATGAGATTTCCCAGTGAGTTTATAAATGGGTTTGGTGACCATAGTTCAAGAAATGCCTCAATGTTACATTATGTCATTTTTTGTTAATTTTGGTTGAAGAATTCTTTGCAGTCAGATTTGCAATAGCACCGGCAATTCTACTACCTCTACATACTTTAAGCGTGATTTTTGTTAAGTGTAGGGTTTGTACAAGAGACGGCCTGGACATGGATTCTTCATTTAGATCATTTTGTGAGGGTTGGAGAGGGGGGCGCGCCTAGAGATAGATTCTTCTTTTTAATCATATCGCCGCGCGTGTGGGCCTAGAGATAGATTCTTCTTCTTCTTCTTCTTTAATCATCGCGCGCGCGAGTGATTCATTGGATTATCAGGTTATGAATGGATAGTGTAGGAAGGTCCTGCCTTTGGTTTCAACTAAGAGACAATGTAAAGCACCAAAATATTGCTTTTAGACAGCTTTTACACAGGGGACTTAAAAGAGGATGCAATATGATTGGTCTGAGGTTCTGGTTGAACATGAATAGATTTATTGCTCGAAAGAATCATTCAAACTTTAGAAGATCATGGCTCAAAAAATGAGGTCAATTCTGAGTTTCTGATCTCACAAGAATCAAGATCTCTGATTCTTTATAGATTATTGTTCTCTCCATATTATATGAGGAAGTATAGAATGTTTCCTCTAAATCCACCAATGTTAGGTTATCTATGCTCCCTTCAATAGAAATAATTTAGAGAAAACACAACTTTATATCTCTGGATTCTATTTGATTTGATTTTGTTATAAATTTTTGTATTTTTTATTTTATATTTCAAGTCTCTATACTTTTTTTCATTTATATCTTAAATCTCTATACCTTTGAAGATGCGTTAATGTAGTACTAACAGTGTTAATTAAATTGATGACTTCATGTGCACTCTAACATCATTAATTATGTGGTAACATGTCATTCAGTTGCTGCTGATGTGTATTTTTTAATAACCAGAACACTTTTTAAAAAAGGCCACACGTGCAAAATGAAAAGGTTGCCTTGCAGCCTCTTTCCACGGGCAAAACAAAAGGACCCTGAGAGGCTGAGACGCAAGGCCACGACGGCAGAAAAGGGTGTTGGAGGACGCCAGAGAAGGCCACATCATGACATGCGCTCACTTAGAGAAGAGTGAACCCCACTGACATTGACATTGATAGACTTGAAATGAAGCTCAATCTGCGAGAAAGAGAGACAACTCAGAAACTTGAAATAGCATGAGACGCACAAGCCAGAGACAATTTAGGACCACATGATAAGTATATATATAAGGACCACAAAAACTATCAGGAGGGGAGATAAGCAGGACTCGGTTTATATTTTTCTTTCACAAAATAAGCAGTGTCCAGCTATTTTCAGGACCACAAAATAAGCAGGACTCGATTTATATTTTTCTGGTTATGGGTCTCTCTCTGAGTCCTTTTGTTTTTCTTGTGCCCTAGGACATCAGGGGCTTCCAGATCGTTATGCTCCACTCATTTGTCTGCACATGTGGCCTTTTTTAAATTTTCTGGTTATTAAAAAATATACATCAACAACAACTAAATAATATGTCACCACATAATTAACAATGTTTGAATCTATGTTAATATACTTAACACCAGTAATGCCCGGTCAACATTACTCCGAAAGTGTAGGAATCTAAAGTGTAGATAAAAAAAAGTATAAAAACTTAAAATACCAATAAAAAAATTGTAGAAACCTATAATAAAATTTGAGTAAAGTTTTGTTTTACCAATAATTTAAATGTAAAATGAAAAGGTTAAAAAAGGACAAACTACAATGAAGAGGATGTGTATATGCTAATAAATAAATTGTTAATTATTTGATTTAGGGTAAAAGCAAATTAACCTTTAAATTATAAGTTTAGGAATGTTTGAGTCTTAAATTAATTTTTGGTACAATGTTCTATTTCAACTTTTGAAAATGGTGCAATTTATATCTTATCGTTAATAAAAGTTAACTTTAACAATTAATTAGTCAAAAAATGATTAAAAAAAAAGGACCTTAAAAGTTATACTTCCTTCATTCAAAATTATAAAAACTTTTGGGAGAGATTTGCCATCCCAAAATACAAGCCACTTTAAGAAGATTAATGTTTCATTAGTTAGGCTTATTTTAATATTACCCTTTCTCTCTCTATTAATACTAATTAGGTGTAAATTTAATGTTATTAAATGAAGGGTATTTTTAAAAATTTACATTTTTGTTTTGAAAAAAATAAAGTTGTTAAGTGTATTTAATGAGATTTATTGGTATGTAAAATTTTGTCTAAAAGGGTCTTATAATTTGAGACGGAAGGAATATTAAAAAAGGACTAATAATATTTTCTTAGTCCTTATTTGTAATTTTTTGGGTCATTATTTATAATTTTTGGATCATTTATTATAAATTTTTTGGTCATTTTCTATAATGTTAAAGCCATTTTATGTTATTTTCTATTTAACTAGTAATAACAAAAGTTAACTTTCATTAATAGTAGGGATCAAATTATACCATTTCAAGAACTAAAGAAAAATATTGAATTAAAAATAAGTTTAAGATTCTTGATACTTTTAGATTTATAGTTTGATAACAATGAGCATTATATCTCTTACTTTGGGTGTTCAAATTTGATTTAATTTTTTTTGTTTTTTAATCAAATCATTATTTTTTACAAAAAAAAATAAAATCATTATTATATTTTAAGTCAATAGTTAAAAGATTATTTTAATTTTTTTCATTATTTAAAGTAAATAAAAACTTAGATTATTTTTAAAAAAGTAAATGAATAGTAAATTAAATAAAATGCTTTCTAGAATATCTAAATATAATTTAAACAATATGTAGATAGCTGGTAAAGGGACAAACTCAGCCCATATGGCCTTAGCCTTAAAAGCTTATTTTATTTTAATTTATCTAATAATTTACTTTTTTCATTGTAATGTTATATGTTTTTTTTTTTTGGAGAATCACACTGTAAGCCTTGAAATAAGAAAAAATTTTACTTTGAAACCTATACATTTTGATATTGTACTGTAGGCTCAAAGGCTTTTGTTATATATATTTTTTTGAGAGTGAAAGTATAATTTTATCCTTATATGATTTAAAAACTTAGATCATGTATAACATAATGTCTATAAATGTACAACACGATATTTATGAATACATAACATGATATGCATGTGTATCCAATTGATCTGTAGGTTAAAATATACATCACACAGAACACGTACAACACATTATCCATAAATGAATAACACCATATTCATGAATGCACAACACGATGTTCATGCACTGTCAACTAAATGTCTATGTGTGACATAGACATTTAGTTGACAGTGCATGAACATCATGTTGTACATCCATAAATATTGTGTTGTATATTGTTTACGTCACTTGTGTATTTTATTAAACCTACTAATCAATTAGACAAGCATGAATATTGTGTTATGCATCAATGAACATGGTGTTATGCATAATCTGAATTTTCAACTCATATAAAAGTAAAATTATATTTTTACTCTCAAAAAATTACAATAAAAAACCTTAACCCTGCAGTACAATAACATGATATATTAAGCCTGTATTGTAATTCTCCCTATTTTTTTATCTAAAATATAAATTAGGATTAAAGTATAATTTTATTCCTCTACTCGGCATTCAATATGTAACCTTTGACCGCTCTTTGACTCTCTGACGTGGCATCCTTATTTATTGTCATTATTATTATTATTATTAACGAGAAGCATGTGAATGGAAGTGAAGCACACTCGCTCCCTCCACAGTCAGCTCTGGATCTTTACTATCATCATCGATGATGAACTCAGTTGAAGAGATCCACAACCACCCTTCCTTTGATCATCATCAACTCGAGGCTCGACCCCTTTCGTCCTTTTATCGTCGTCGATTCAGCTCCTACTTCCTATGATTTCAGCAGGCAAGGGTTCCGTCCAAGACGCCGCAACGCCGGCGACAGATCTCCCTTTAACCCTATAATTGTCCTCCATGGACCTGTCGACGGAATCATTGGCCAGAACGGTGTCGGTGGTTGACTAGGAGGAAAGAAGCTTCGAGTTGTACTACGATTAGAGTAAGACGAAAGTAGGGGAGGAAAATAGAAAGCTCCTGCATCTTCAATATAATCCATCGATGAGAGTAACAATTATGCCAAAGTATCTCAACAGCAATCAAAATCAAGAAAAAAAAAAACAGAGAGGCAAATTCTAATATAACTTCGGAATACACATCAGGAAGTAGATCTTGTCGCTGTTGATGTTGTTCTACAAGCTTTCAGAAAAAAAATCTAGATCAGTTTAGATTTTTATCACATTCATTCCTGAAATAATATGCTGATCAGAAGGCTTTAGGGTAAAAAAAAAAGAAATTCCCAGACAGTATAAAACTTCTTAAACACCAAAAGCGTGTTGGGGTGAACTTTGGGGGATTTTCAGTCGAATAGGAATCATGTAATAAATAATGCATTAACATTCTTTATTTGGGGCGGCGATAGAGAAAGTGTAAAAGCTTCTCCAAAGGAAAAAAATTAATCTCATACCTGAACTGTCTAAAAGCCAGGGATCTTTTTGTCTTCTGAGCTCTTTCTCTTCGTCGTCGTCGATGAAGACGAACCATTTTTTTTGGCCTAAAACTTCCTCTGGTTGTGTCGTCCGTGATGGAGAGAGCCAGTGGTGGTCGGAAGTGGGTCTCTCCACTTTCTTCTCCTCCATTTCTCTTCACTTCCTCCATCCTCACCATTTATTAATTTTTTTTTAAAAAAATTATTTAATAAAAAAATTTGAATGATGGGTACGGAGGAAGTGGAGGAAAAGGAAAAAAAAAAAAGAAAGAGACCCTGATCGGTGGTGGTCCTGGTGGAGGTGGTGATATGGCACGCTTGGAAGAAGAAAGGATCCAAAATAGGTCACAAAGCTGGTAAAAAAATTAAGGGCTGCCACGTGGAGGGTCAATAGGGGTCTGATCATCACATACTGGAAACTTGACTGCAGATTAATAAAAGCAATAATACTGGAAAAAAAAATTGTTCC